AAAACGCTGGTGCCGACGGCCAACTTTGGCTCCAGGATGGCTCGCCAAAGTGCCACTGGCTCGCTGTTATGAATTGCGAAAAAGCTCATTAATGTGCTCTTTCTCGATGTCTGAAAACATGCAATCTGCATATGCTAATTTTGCGACGCACTGTGCGGCCTCGCGTACAAGCTCGCAGGCCGCACAATGCATTAATGTTTGCCATCCCACATACCCTTTATCCTGAAGTTAAAATACTCTCAGTCTCTATTTGGCACACCCGCTAAAGGCAGTTATATACAAGGAGCGATGTCATGTGAAATGTATGCTGTGGTCGCTGTAGTGTTTAATGCCGAAGCCTATCGAGTTTGACTATAGCTTGATGTGAAGAGATGCGGTGAGTTTGCAACGGTACACGCTACAATTATTTCCCAACAATTGTGCGCAGGCTACTGACTGGCCTGTTTTACATGGCAATAACAGAAGATAACAACTTCAGCTTGGCTTCTACTTTTTAATTGCCCCCTTATGTAGGAAGTTCATGACTGTTTTGTTACATTACTGCACAGTTGAAACTCGTTAACGAAGTGATGAGGGTGCTCGAAAGACTTCGTTAAACCGGGAAGCTCGTAAAATCGACGAAGGTATTTTTTTCGGTTCCTCGAAATCTAACATTGTAGCTTAGTGCGGTGCGAAAGCCACCATGGCATTTGGGTTGCCGCTATTAATGCACTCCGGCGGGTCTCGAAAGTCTGCGGACGCAGCCCGAGTGGGGATTTGTGTCTTGTCCGGATGATACAGACGACGTAGACGACTTCCTGAAGCTACGACAAGCCATAAATGCTGAAGGATAAGGAGAACGGTTGTAGTTTATGCGTGAATAATAAGATTCGGTCTGAAGTCAAACTTGAGTTGAATAGGGCCAAATATCGAATAATATATTGAATAAGCAAGGTGTTCAACACTGACAGAAAGAAAAAAGCAATAAATGAAATCTGCCATTGTCCTGAAGCACATAATGCGGCGAGCTACTGCTACTGAAATACTACAAATCGTCATGCACAAACACGAACTTTCCCATATATGACCTGGCTACTGCTAATGAAATACTACAAATTGTTATGCACAAACACTGACCGTCCCATATATGACCTGGCTACTGGTACTGAAATACTACAAATTGTCATGCACAAACACGAACTGTCCCATGTATGACCTGGCTTCAGCCCTCTCGCGGTGATGTTAAGGTGTTTTCTGCAGTTTAAAAAAAATGCGCCCAATAAACATCTCAACATATGCAACAGATACCTTACTTGTGTAGATAGAAAACTTGTGCAGAAAATTAATTTTAACCTCAGATCACGGTGTCTTGAGCGTCAGTTATTTTTGTTCTCCAAAAAGGGGGAACCGTGACTATGTTCTTGAGCAAGGTTTTTACGAAGCAAAGCTACTTCATTTTCAATGTTATTGTGCCCCTTCACGGTTACGTTCTGCGTGGGGAAGGAATGGCACAGCTGGTGATATAGTTGCTAACTTGTGGCCCTGTATTTTTGATCATGCTTTTTTTCTTACGAGCGGAAATGACTATTTGTATTTCAAATAAACATGGACCTGCTTTGGACCAGGACACTCGTGAACGTTTCAACGCAAGGCCTATAGACTGTAACAACGTTAACATTAGCTTGAGCCACCCACCCCAACCAAGCTGCATCATTGGCCTTTGTCGTGTTTCGCATATTCGTCCTGCCGAATTATTCGAAACTATGAATATTAGCTATGCGAAAGTAGATCAAATTATTCGTTTGGTTATTATTCGAATTCGAGCTTGAAGCTCGAATATCCGCACACACCTAGCATCTATGTTTTAACGCGATGGTGTTCCCGCCTACGTCCGAGGAAAAGCTGTCTGTGTGAAAAGTGGCAAGCAAGCACTGAATATTTTTACTCGTTTATTTGTGGAAAAACTTAGTTAAACACAGTCCAATGCCATGAAACCTTCGTTAATTTGAACTGATGACAACATTGGACTTTACGGGTACCTGACGGGAATGGGAATTTCTTCATTAAATCATCATTTTCATTCTCAGCCTGTTTTAATCCACTTCAGAACGAAGGCCTCTACCAATTATCTCCAGTTTACACTATCCTGTGCGAGCTGATTTCATTTGATCTCAGCGAATTTCGTAATTTAGTTTCTACATTTCACTCTCTTCCTTCCTTAACTGCTCTTCCCATCGCTTGGTAACTATTCTGTTACATTACGTGACCAGGTCAGGCCTATCTTTTTTTTTTTTTTTGTCAACTAACTAGGATGTCTACGACTGCTACTTTAAACATTCTTCGTCTTTCGAACTCCTAATTTCATTCATATTATTTCACGTTCCATAGCACGCTTTGCAGTCCTCAGCTTTTCATCTAGTTATTTCGCTATTCTCCAGGTTTTAGCCCCATATGTCAGAACTCGCAGTATGCTGTAATCGTATACTCTTCGCTTTAAGGATAGCGGAATATCCTGGCATTAGAATGGGAAGTTTTCGCCGAATGTTCCCCAGCCCATTCGTATTCTGTGGTGAATTTCTTTTTTGTTAATAGATTCGTCCATGAGTAGTTGTCCAAAGTACACATATTGCTGTATACACTCCATCGTATGATTTTGGATCTTAAATTCTTTCTGTTTCACCAGGCTATTGAACATCGCCTTTGACTTCGTCATATTTATTTTGAGAACTACTTTTTTTTCTATTTAATCATTTCTTGCTCTACAATTCGCCGCTATCGTAAATCAAGAGCATTATATCAAATACATGTTCATCCACCTTTCTTCTCTTGTGACTCCATCTACTAAATGGGACAAAGAGCACTTTTTCGTGCTCTTTGTCGCGTTTCTTCGAGATCTAATATTCTTTTAGGTTGTCAAATAGTCGTTTTTTTTTCTGTGTGTCTGTGTCACTTATCTACGTTGTTAGATTTACGTCGTTGTATGAGTTTCTTTCTGCCACATTTTTTTATTCAATCCGCATCAAAAACTGCAGCACCAGGGTCTCCTTTTCTAATCGTAAACCCATAGAGAAGAGGCGCGCTTCCCTGAATTAACTTGCAAAGAGAAGTATGTGATGGTAGCAGTGAATGCTTACATAAGCCTCTTTGGCCACGACCAACAGTCCCTCCTTACTCGAAGAAATGTTCGCACTAAAGGCTTTTTTCACTGGAGTCCCGGCCGCTGTGACGACCAGGCGCAGCTTACTTAAATACAAATCGATCTAATCAAAGCTTGAAATCCTATGCTAACGCTTACAAAAAACACGCGCACAGGAAATCATACAACACAGCCGCTACACCCAGTTAATACAGCCAACAAAATGAGAGTTTTCGCGAGTGGTTAGACAGGTCACAAACCGTATATACTTCCTGATGTGTTTGTCTAAAGTCTGTTGATAGACTCGACTTTATCGGTTTTTTTAGGCAAAAAGTAGTACTTATTATCAGCACACTCATGCGAGCAATGCTTTCAAAATTTCCTGAGATTCCTCTCAGCGCCTTAATATGTGTGTTACTCGCGCATTCGACGAGGACTCGTTACGTCACTACAATCCGCGATTCAATATCGGCGCGGTGATCGTTTTGCTGTAGCGCTCGGTGCACGTTTCATAACAGCGGCCATCGGAGGCTCCTCTTATAACATTTTATGACAGAGAGAAAAAAAAGTGATGAATGTTTGAGCTTCGTAGAGCGCTATAGCCTAACCGGGCCACGTTCGCATCTCAACTGTCATAAACTCGCTTCGGCTCTCGGTGCATGACTCACCCGTGCCGTCAGGAAACTAACGACTGTGCGCGTAGCATTAGCAGCGTAAAACTATGCTACAAAGCCTACTGCAAGTACATTGTTAAACCTCCACTACGTTATAGTTATTTCTTTTTGCGAATCAGTGACGAGGGGTCCACTGTGTATCACTAAGGCAGCGTGCGAACCTGCGCAGCTACTTTCTTTGTTGATGCTTGTGTTGCTGATACTGATTAAATATGGAGCACTTTGTTATGGTTGAACCTTTAAAAGACCCACTTTTTGCACAATTCACAAGTTTCGACGCCTGGCGCGATTCCAAGCTTCTTCGTCGCAATATTGGATGCGTTAAGGAGGCTCCTCCGTCTGATTAACATCCATGTATTTTTTTAATAAGCAGTTTCAAGCAATAACATGCATTTATGATATATAGAACACCTGCTTGCCACGCACCTGGAATTTGAATCTCACTTGAACCGGATGGTTTTTTTTTTATATATATCTGGATTTTCGATCAGGGGCCAGGATGGCGATCTTTAGCTCACAACCAATGACGCCGACACCGGAATGTCTGCGCACCGAGCGTTTTAAGTCTATCGCGTTGATATTCCGGCACACGTCTCGTTACTGATCCAATAACTCAAGCGCCTAGGTGTGTGCTTACGGGGTGAACTAGCGCTTAAGTTTGTTTCATTTTAAAAACACCTTGCAGTAAGCGTCCCTTCTTAGTGAATCTCCGGCAAATCCACCATTAAACACCGATTGCTCAAATCAGAGCCCCGAACTGGTTAAACTTCCAAGTGCGATGTTGCCCTTAATGCGCGTACGTCTATGTCTGGTTCCGCGCACGGATCCGCATAAGGAACAAAACAGAAGTCGGCCAACACGTGTATTATTTAGCGTAAAATTCTCGTTAAAATGAACATTCTGCTGATAACTTCTGCTTGTTCGTCGACCAGCATCTTAGTTTACGGAAACGAACACTGAATGTTGCTCCTGTGGCACGACTTTGCCCTCGTTGCATGAAACAGCCGCCTATTGATATAAAACGTGGCTCCATTTCTTGTAGATTGGGCGTGCCTTGCTAATCACGAGGTTATGTTTTTTTGTCTATTGGTTTACAGTCAGATACATCCGATATTGACCTCTCATCGGCTGTCACAAAAGAGAGTATTGATGCTTTTCTGTTCGGAAGGAAAGCGAAGGTCGCAGCCTCAATTGCGATCGTCTTTGCGCAGCCACCTACCCTGCGGCGTATGGCCAGTTCGCCCAAGCCCTCACACAGCAGCCGGCGGTGGTTCCTCAGACTCAGAGAGAGGGTAAGCCTCACGACGCAGCTTGTCATAATGAGTGTCTACGATTCCGCATGGTTTGTTTCGTCTTCCTCAAATGACGGCTGTCAATCAGTGTGCCTCAAGCACTTCGATAGGGTATGTCTATTCAAGAAAAAAAAATCTATGCGTATTCAATAACACAGACAGCGCCGACTAAAGAAAACTGCTTTCCGAACTCCCATTATAGTCTGAACTCCCAATCCTGAACTCTGATAGGGTCACCAAAACGACTACTAGTTTCATGCATTTAACATTGGTCGGTGCAGCTTGTGCGGTTGAACGAACCTGAACAGATGAGATTCCGTGGGACCTTCGGTATAAAATTGCAAACGTTGCCTGAATCTGAGGCAATCGCTGGCGATTTGGTGTTGAATCTGTCTGCTTATAAGTTAATATATAACATCGCAAAGAACACTCCACGCACTGGTTTAATGACATGCGGCTCTTAGCGACAGGATGCGGAGAACTAACGTTGAGGACCGCACTTTCGGAACAAATGGTAATTTGTGTGAGTAGAACGCATGTTTCACTCTGTTTGGCGTACAATACGAAACCATCTGGCCTACAGAGAACATGCGTTTGAACGTGAAGGTTGCCTTCTGGGTTCTCCGTGAGCCTAGAATCAGTAGAATTTATGAATATCTTAGACCACGGAATATTAGAAGCGTAGAGGTCATGGCAGGCTTCCTTCTCACACCTGGCGCGCACCCTATTTGCGGCTTCGCAGGTCCCGAAGGCTGCAACCTGTTCATCTACCACCTTCCTCAGGAATTCGGAGACGCTGAGCTGATGCAGATGTTCATGCCCTTCGGCAATGTGATCAGCGCCAAAGTCTTCATCGACCGTGCCACAAACCAGAGCAAGTGCTTTGGTAAGACTTTCCGTCGTAATCATCTTGACACTGCAGCACAAAAACATGTCCGTGTTTCGTTAATTAACCGGGTAATGTGCTTGCTGCGGCTACATTATCACCGTAAACTTTTTTTTTTAAATCTCGTCAACCCACCTTTCTCTCTATCTCCCCCTCGCACTGTTGCCTTCTCTTGAAATCCTCTCTGCATTACGGTCAAACTCACACGGTAAAACAGTGGTCGAACATTAGGATATTTAACTGCGCTTTTTCTTGTAACTAATTGGTTTAGTGATCGCGCAGTCTCGTTGGAATAATGTAGCGTCAATGCACAATAATATTCGGATTTTAGAGGAGTGCGCAATTTGCGTACATGTATGTCACAAGTGCCACGCTGCTGACGGAAAGTCACCACTGCGCAGGCTTCGTCAGTTTCGACAACCCGGCGAGTGCACAGGCGGCCATCCAGGCAATGAACGGCTTTCAGATTGGAATGAAGCGGCTCAAAGTGCAACTGAAGCGTCCCAAGGACGCCAACAGGCCCTACTGAGCGGCAGCTCTGCTGCACGCTGCCTCGCAGGGGTAAGGACACCCTCGATTCCATTTTCACGTCGCATGCCTGTGCTCAATAAGTATAGCTGCACCTTTGACGGGAGTCGTCTTGTATCACAGTAATAACCCTGGTGGGGTTTTCACCCTTACCTTTCTTGAAAACTTGCTTGAACGCTCGCTGGCGTTTGCCTTCCAGAAGGTGACGCTCGTCACATTCCTATTAAAAGTGCTATGCCTTGTTTAAAGCACAGAGGTCGTTCAAGACTCCTAGTAACCTTGAACGCCGCGTCAAGTAAGAAAAACGCGCACGATATAGTACGATTATTGCTGTGGGACACAAAGACACCCTAAAGAGTGCAACCTTTTGTAACGTGCTGCATATACTTCGCTTGGAACAGTTATGGTTTCTCCGTCTTTTTCACTGCTGACTGCTGCAATGTACGTAGTGCTCAAGCAAAATAACAAAAGTACGAGAACAAAAGCAGCATTCACAGCACCAATTACTTTGGTCGGAAATATTTTTGAGTAGGCAACTTCAGACAGCTTCACCAAATACTTGACCCGCCCTCGGTGGTGCAGCAGAGACTGGCGAGATAACTTTGTGATTCTTCAAATAGTGGCTCTCTTTGTGCAAAGGACATAACCATAATAACGTTTAGTTTTATTCTGTACTCACTCGCGTATGCTCAAGGATATCTGCTTGAATCTAGAGCTGTTGAGTATATGTGGCGATCTTAACGTTTTAGGCTCACGCGCTTGATGTGAGTGTGCTATCGAAAATAAAGATGTCCATTTGAGTACTCTTTCGCGTCAGCGCAGCGCTTAACGTGATTTTTTTTTTTTTTGCACGCCATATTAAAAGCGTTAGTCACGTCCGGCCGTTTAGGAGGAGGCGGTAAACTCAGTACCTTATGTTACACATCGCCTTTAGTGGCCTGAGATGAGACATGTTTTGTTACGTGAGCGTAGTTTTGTTACATGAGCATAGTTTTGTTACATGGCACGCTGAAAGCGTGTCTCGATTCTGGCGCTGCGATGTAGTCCCCATAGGTTTTGACGCGTAACCATTGTCGTTTATCGCACTCGCCATTAAGAAGGCGGGGATAACTTTTTAAGTACAAGAAGCACGTGGAAGCATGCATATGAACATCTGTTGTCATAGTGGGTGGAGATGAAGTGTCGCCAAAAAAAATAGTATTGTATCCAAGAAGAATGACCTGACTTGTTGCCGTCCCGACCCAGGGCTGCTGACCACTCAGCCCTCCTCTACTCAGTGCCTCTCTTCGGTTAAGCTCACGGCCCCTATCCCCACCAGTAAGTGGGTGTGTTGTGCTTTGTGTTGGTGGCGTGTGCAGAGTGTACACATACATCCCACCGAGTGTATACTTTCGTGTATGTTTGAGTTGGACGCACGCCGCTTCTGTCTTCACGCTGTTCAAGCCTTGCTATCGTCTTGCCAACGTAGGCCACGAGAGCCTTGCGGCACAACGCGGTCTCTGTGTGTCGTAACCAAAAAGGACGTGGCACGCTCGTGGCTTCTCCAGAACGAAGTGTATGTCTTTGCCAGCCCTAAAGTATCGGCACTCGCGTGCAGTCTAAGCACGGACTGCTGCGCTTTTGCGATGCCCTTGTGGCCGCCGAAGTTCTGGAGTGTATACGCGAAATCTGATTGGCACTCGTCTGGCAAAGGAATATGCAGTCTTCGCCTGTAGTCGGTGTAAAATGCTGTACTGCTCGTCTTTTGCTTTAGCGTAACTAGATGTCACGTCTAATGCAGAGTGTAGCGGCAGCATGAGCAATCTGGCTTCTGTTTGTACTATAGCTCAGTCACGATTCTACATGGGGACAGCTCTCAGTCCAACGACGCTGTTAGCAATACGTACCTGTAGTTAGGCGTCACACCCTAAAGGATGTCAGGTATTTCGACTGCTCAATAACAGCTTCTCATTGTGTTTAAGTATTCGCCGATTTGGGAAGAAGGGATGTTTTGTCATTATTCATCCTCAACTTCCTGGCCTCAAACTTCTAGTGAATGCCCGCATATATAGTGTTCCCTTACCCATATTACCAGTTCAATGGCGTCCGAACAGAGTGTTTGGCTTTGTATACCTAAAGTGACAGGCATCGCGTTTTCACAGCGGGGGTAATTGTTTCTTCGTTGATGTCCTTAGTGGAGCTTGTAGCAGTATAGAAGTCGGTCATTCGAGTGAAGTGTTTTTTTTTTGTTTTAGGCGTTATTTTCATAGCTCTGAATCCCTGATATACAACGAGACACAGTTTTCTTCGCTTCTGGTCATAATTATCCTGAAACATACGCGCGTGTGCACAACTAGCAAGTGAATTCTGGCGTATTGCGCTACACAAATTCGCAGCACACCGCAAACATTAAAAAAAATGTTCTGATCGCCGTTGCCTGGCACACATAGTCTTCCTCACGGTGATCTTCAAGATTTTTTTTTTCAATGCCTTTCGTTATCTTCTCGACCGTCGTTACTGGCGCAGTTAGCAAGCACCGCTTTAGACGACTCGAGGAGCAGCTGCAACTCTTATCGCAGTCACATTTCCGTAGCATACAGCCTTCGCCGCCGTTTCGCAGCTTGAAAGCATGGAGCCTCATCGTGTTCACCTTGGTCACCGGCTTTGTCGTGCTGCGGTCGTTGTTGTGTCGCTTGGTATCGTTGTGTGAAGTGCTGCTTCAGAGGCAGACGTGCCTGACCACTGCTTGACGTACGCCCTCGGATGATTGCCGTGTGTGTACTTTTCGATGTGGCACTAATGTCTGCTTGTATATATATACTTGCATGCGCTCACAACACGAGAGACACGTTCGTCGCATACTGCGCCTCTCGGGAACGTTGAGAAATTACGTACTCGTTGGTCGGTACAGGCGTTTTTCTATCGCTCGATTTGTTTCTACATCATCTGCCACTCGCGACTGTCCGCTACAGAGGACAGCTTCGATCGCGAGCGTTGTTCAAACTGTACGACGAGGCACGTAGAGAAATTTCCCAGCTACGGTATATTTGTCACTGGTCTCTCATTACTAGAGAAGACGCTCACAAGAGCGGTATAGAGGCCCAACATGCGGCTTTAAAGCAGGTGCCCTACGTTCTACCCGAGTGCGCTATTTCCAGACTGTCGACGCGCTTTGTTCGCAGTTTAATATCGATCAAGGGACAACGGCCTCGCTGCGCTAGCTACATGCCCCGCTTTTATTTTTTTATTTTTTTGTAAATGTAACGCAGTGCATGGCCAGTAAAGTGTATCATTGCGTCGCGTCTTCGTGCCTTTGGAAAACGTGGCGCTCTTGGCGAAATGATTGACTGCTCCTTCCTTTCTATTTAGGTCGATTGAAGTGAAAGGTCAACTGCGGAAAGGTCGCGATGCTGTTTCCGACCACGCTGCAATAAGGTTTATGTGACATCACCACCCTAATGTCTTACCCAGGTTTTTACGAATGCTGAAACGATTCTTGCCTAATTTTTTTTGTTATATAACCTCGTTTGGCAAAATAGTAAATGCGTGCTTAAAGATATTTATTTCCTGTGTAAAGTCTAACAAGTAAAAGACCGTAGGAAGCAAGCTTTTAGCCCATGCCATGTGAATACACGAAAAAAACAACTCTTTTTTTCCTCGACGCTTATGTAGTCAGGTGTTTGTGAGGATGGGATAAGTTCTAATGACAGTGCGAGGTTAGTTTTTTTTTATTCAAATTTTTAATTTTTCGATAAATCATCGAAAATGACAAAACTGAAAAGAGGCTCGTGTATCAGGTTCCGGTCCTAGCACAAAAATAAAACTCAACATCACCGTTGTTTAAACTACACCCAATGATAAATCGTAGTCAAACGAAATTAATGCGTTACTCCTCACTCAGATAAAAAGCAAAGTATTGAGTAAAGTTTTTCTAAGGACTCGCGAAGGCACTTCGACAGTTCTAAGTCCATGAGTTGTAAGTTCATATAATAACACTAGCCCACTGTTAATTGGTTCTCTGAACAGCTGTAGCTTTTACAAATTATATCCGTTTTGAGTGGAGAGCTACGAATTTGTAGACCTAAAGCTTGAATTTTTTTTAACTCTACCTGCTTTGGCAATTCTGTAAAATCTTTCAATCTTTTTATTAAAATGTAACTTTCTATAAGCACTAAATACTATTTTCCAATTCTAAATGCAATAAATCTCGTTAAAAGCTGTCCGTTGGTGGCCTCATAAAAGTACCACACCTCATTATTTGTATTTAGCATCTGACATAAACAAAATACGTGTAAAATATGCACTTTATGATGAATGTATTACATCTATTCAAATTTATGTTGGTCCTGAGCTTCATCTTCCTCTTGAATTCCGACCTACGCTTTCTCGGGCAAACCATCCGCCCGTAAAATTGGATCGATCGCCATTTTATTAAAGGGTATGCGTTTTATTATACGTGGCGGAAACTAGCAAAATTATTTTGTGCGAAACATTGCCGTTGTCCAAACACGATGAGCGTAGATATGAGGATAACGAATATTGCGATAGTTGGCTTTATCAAATAAATGCACGCCACAAGCCAAGTTTTCTGTTGCGTAGATTGGCTCGCGTATGCGACATTTCCGTGCTTAAGTTTATCGAATGCGTATCCGATGGTTTCACCTCCCCGAAAGCGTGACAAAAACGAAACATTGGTTTGTCAGTTCGCTCTCTTTCGTTTTCAAGTACTCTCACTCTCGGCGTGCTCTCATGCAAAATGTTTTCATCAATTATGCGGTGCCAACGTGTCCGATTTGAAACTGAAGAGACAATAATTTAACGCCGACGAAGCGAAAAATACAGGCCGAAGAACATTTAGTCTGTATACGGTGTACCAGCGAGTAAAACACATTCTTCGTAACACGAAAACAGCGCTAAGTAGATGCGTGATAAATTTACATGCGTGATAAAAAAAGTTGTTGCCACTGAAGTCAAAATACCCGCTTGAGGCTCATTTAAAAGCGCACATTGCGTACGGAGAATGTCCTGTTTATCATTAAAACAGTGCTTCATATCTCGTGTTTTCCAAGGAGCATGTTTCATATAGCTTAATAGCCCTCCGCAAGCTAAACGCGTGGTTTTAATATTACAGAGGGGTGAGAAATAGGTTTCGGTCACGTGGTGTTTTGTCTTTCCTAGCTTTCCTTGTCGTGAAGTCGCGGTATACCCTTGCGAGGACGTATAGAGCGTCGCGATCGACGGTCTCTCCTCCGTTTGTCGATTTCAAAGAAGTGCACTCTACGAACAACACAAGGCCAAACACACCCGCTCACTGGTGTCGTTTTCAGTATTGTGAGCATGTTGTGGCATTCCTCTTTTGCACGTTCGTGTCGTAGAGCGCGGCGCTTGTTTCGTATCTATTGCTTCGAGTAGCGAGTGGTTAAAGAGTTTGCACACGGTTAGCAACGTTGATAGCTTGATCTTTTGTGCTACAGTGCCTGAACTATCGTGCAGCGTACTTTAGTCAAGGCATATTAAGCTAAAATAGTCATGCAGCTACACAAAACCTTTTAAGGAGTACTGACACAAAATGTTTGTATCTTATTTGTTTCTGTTGAAATAAGTAACTAACGATCCTCTTATCATTGCTGGGTGAGAGTGCGTTGGCTAATTACTTGCATACGTTATTACAAAGCCAAGTTTGAGTGGAGAGTAAACAGAGAAGCGGTTCCGCAGGTAAACGCTTTGTCGTAAGCGCAACCGTTCACGTGGCGGTAGTTTAGGCGCCTCGTTAGCAACTCAGGCCAAGAGCACATGGTCATGGCAGCTATCTTGTCCCGTTGGGGGTTGTTAGTTGTGCACAATAATTACTAGTTGATTTAGATTTCACCCTGTTTCGCGGCATATACCTGCAAGTTGGTTAGTGTCCTAGTCTACGTGCCGTTTATACTTCGTAGCGGACGGGTTCGTGTCCACAAGAATACATCCGACGATTATCTCGCCTCCGAAATTTTGTGTCAGTGCTCCTTCAAGTTATCATTGATGAAGTGCAACCACTTGAACTTTTGTGTATCCTGAGGTGAAATGAATAGTACCTACCATTACTTAAGGCAGTGGCCTTTAATCGCAAATGTCTGTTAATTGAAGTTCAGCTGTTTCATCTTTGTATAGGTTCTTTTCTTGTGCCCAGAAAATATCACAGTACATAAAATTGCAATGTATTTAAACATACCCGCCGGTGAGATGGCATGCAACTAATCTATTTTCGCAGCGCCGCCTGGGCTACGCTATGAGGGCAAATCACTTCTGTAATGCAAACTGGTTGCTCATTGAAACATGACCGTACCGAATAAAACAGACAGTGCAGGATAGAACAGTGTAACCACAAAGGTGGAAGGTTGCATGAACAGAGTTCAGGAAGTACCTTCTGCCATTTTGTACAGAAACGTACGATTTAGTAATGGCTTGGCCAGTTTTGCTTCCGTGGGTCTTGCTTCATGCTTTTCTCTCTCTTTCTCTCTCTCTCTTTCAGATGTTACAAGACCTTGACGGCAAAGCCTGTTTTCGAGGGAACTTCAGAGTTGTAGTTAGATGAACAGTGTACTATAGCCGCCACTGAGCGCGTCTTAGAGGTGAGAGCAGTGTTAGAAGGTTTGTTAGTCCGCCTGAAACAAGAAATCACGCTTCTGGGCTCAATGAACGCAGCACCCTTTTCGGCTTATCAGAAGAGCTTCTATTATTATTATTATTACGAAAGACGCGCGAGATATGAAAAAAAGTAGTCAGTCTAGCCAAGTAGGTCTCGTAGTCAAACCCAACCAGGCCTTGACACAGCTGATATATATATATAAGCTTTTCGCCAGCGTTTACTTCAAGAGACGCCAGGACGGCATGTATAGAGAGGGTGGCCGCAATTAGTCTCGCCATGTATACTCGACGCAGCAGGGCAGGCCCAGGTGGCGCGACGGGCGGTCTCGCTTTGCTGCCTCTGTCGCCCCCTGGTGGGCTTTTCCCGAAGGACGGTGACCCAGTACGGCGACAAGCGACGACCGCCGCCAGTCGGGAAGGGCGCGCACCACACGGGAGCATCCATATCAGTATCGGCGCTGGAAGTGCCCTCTTGCCGCGGCATCGTGACTGTCGTGCCCAGTGCGCGCGTGGGCCATTTTCCTTGTCTGCACGCACTTTCCTTTTCACACAAACAAGCGTACACTCAGAAGCACACGCACAAACACACGCTCAGTCATGTAATACACACGGATACACACAAGTACACAGGCGCATTCCGCACAGCCCGACAAATAGGGCTCGCGCATGCGTAAAACTGACTGTTGACAAGTGCGTCCCAGCAGCGCCAAGTTCTGTAGTTGATTTAGCGATGTAGTACTATAGTATAGGTAGAAGTCACCTGTACATACGAAGATAAGCGTAAACACAGCAGTATATAATATACTCACGCTGTACTGATAATACTATATATGTATACATATTATATATAAATATATATATAAAAGAAAAGAAAAAAACTATATTATATATATACACACACATACCAGAGGATTTCTAGAGAAGAAGAAGAAGAAGAAGCGAAAAAAAAAATGTAACGATTTCGTACAGGTCCCACGCTCGAGTGACTTGCGTGGTTGTTTGTAGAGAAGACTATTTTTGATCACACGAAGTTTTTTTGTGAAAGACGCAGCCAAGGCGAGGGAAGCTGTATCCCGTGAATGGCTTTCCTCTTTCGGTTACAGCTCTGGCTGCCGCCCTAGTTCTTTTTCGCCTCAGTTTTCGTGAAGCCAAGTGCGTCTTGTTACTGCAGCAGCGAGAGGGTGTGGTCCACACAGGACGCTGCTTGTCGTGTTTTTTTTATGTTTTCATTTGCATGGGAGTGTGTGCTCTTTGAACAGTGTGACTTTTAATGTATGGCTGCCTTTAGCAAACAGGGCGCTGTGTTCAGCTGCCGGTGTGTCGACCGAGGAGGTGCCTTCGAATCTTTCTCGCACAGCTACGCTACATCGGGGTTGTCTTTTGGACTCCCGTAGTTGTCTAAACGTGGTTAGTGTCTTAGGAACACCTGTTGTTCAGAAGCCAGTGCTTCCTCTAAAGTCTTCGCATCGGGACAGCATGAACAAACTGCCTAAATGTCACACCGATACTGACGCGGAGAAGGGACCCTCTATATGGGGTACGCATTTCTAAAGCCCTTCCGTCAGACAGCGTTTTTTTTTTTTTAATCACTTCACGTTGCATCTTTCACTGTTGAGCAGAAGATAGACCAGAGCACCTGTCTGGCAACGATTATCCGGCCTGTTCACATTGGGCATCGCAGTAACGCTGGGAAGGCTCATTCGATATTTCTCGGCAGTTAGGTATTTATTATATGTATATATATATATATATATATATATATATATATATATATATATATATATATATATATATATATATATATATATATATATATATAAGCCGCGCCATGAAAGAAAGAAATCGGAAACTCTCAAGTGGATAAACACACAAGTCATGTCTACTGATGGTACGGGTTACCCACACTCTATTTTAGCCTATTTATTTTTTCGGGGAACAAAATTAGCCGCAGTAAGAGTAACCGGGGCTGTTCTATATTTAGGTTCATTTTGTTTGCTTTATCACGGAATCGCGCTTTGAAGCGTCGACGCACGTTTTGCGTTTCTCTAAGTGGGCCGTGCTGAAGAGCACTCAGCCATGTTGCGGCAGTGTCCTCAGCCGACGCACCGGCAGTGCCAGTGTAGAATGTAGCCGCCAGATTGACTGTTCTTGTTTTTTTTTCTCTTTTCTGAGTGCTGTGTGAATTCATTTTAGTCTCAAGCTTCACTTGTGGTCCGAATGCCGTTAAGTATGCGAACTGTGTTAAGCAGACCTACAGGGTAAATACAAAGAAAAAAAAAGAAACTTGTACCTTTCCTCTGCGCGTTCTACCCTCGAGACAGGTTTTAGCGCTCTCCCACGACACTCGCCACACCAGCTGATCTTTTTTGCTTACAGTTGTCCGCCTCACGTCTTCTGCCTTACGCATTCATTCGACTGGTCCCATAGACCTAAGGCAGCGGATTTCTACGTTTCACTTTGGGCATCGCCATCCGTCGTGCTGCCTTCTTTCATTCCACAGACTGGCTTGCGCGTACTCTGAGATTCATTCGCTTCAGCTCTGAGGGCGAGACTAACAGGGTAGTGAGGTCAGAGGAGGTTTGTTACCACGCTTACCCAACGGTAAGAACCAACCCCGTCGCACCTTTCTTCGTAGTTGATCGTTTCGACCCGCGGCCGGGCCCGGAAGCAGTGTCGTGCACTACTGGCATCGCTTCTTCGAATGCACACGCACAGATCACGCGCTTCTTAACACTTCCAACTAGTGCATCCAAATACGTATCTCAAATGCACGCCTCAACTGCTTCGAGATAAAAGAACGGGAGCACGAGCCATTCAGTAATCGTACAAGATTGATCCGCCGAGATCGCGGTGAAAACAAAATGAGCATCGCAGGGTGGCTCCATCTCTTAGCATTCAACCTCGGCTCGCTTTGGTATGTCGCTCATGCCACGTTTATGAGGCCGTCTCTCTCGCACTCTTCTTCTCATCCTCTGCCGTCCAGAGGAGCGAACTCTGCACATTCCTTACTCACCTGTCCCGCTCTTTCTTTCGGCCGTGCTAACCATTCCATGCGAGGACTGTCCACTTTGTCGAAGCCCTCGAAACAGCGCGCTGCGATGCGTCCTGCTGCTGCGCTGAACTCGCCTGTCCTCCTCGTTCGCCCCCGTCGGCCAAGCCGCCGGGAGACCCGTCGAGGAGAGCGGAGCACTGCCGAGTCGACGGACGTCGCCACTCGGAGAGCCGGCGTTCGAGCATTTACAGATTTTCTATGGCCGTCGTGCTTCTGACGGTTGTTTCCCTCGTAGTGTCCCACGCGCGCCGGAGCGACGTCCGGTCAAGTTGTTGCCAAAGATGTTATGTTGAAAAAAACCTTCGCACAAGCCGGCCTACGTGAGGCAGGGCCTCGGGCGCCAAGTCGAGGCGCGGAGTGAACCGCCTGGTTTCTCCGAGTCACGAGATGCCTTGGCACCCAGTCGTTACGAACACCCTGCCGACCATCGCACGCTTCTTTTGTTGACACTTCCTTTTTGCGCGTGAGTATTATCATCGCACACTGGTTATTACAGAAATATAATATATATCACGCCTATAAATCCATATTATATATATATATAAAGATATATAAACCAATCATCTCCATCGTCACGATGAAAGCCACGCAGGCGCGTCCGACGAAGAGCCGTGCGGCCTTCACCTTCATCTTCTCGGGGACGATGCCGCGAGGCTCTGTCCTCGAGCGTTCGACGGGAGCTTCGTAACCACTCTCCCCGTTTCGTGTGCGCGCTTTTAACAATGTACATACAAACACACGTACACACACATCTTACCAGTCAGTATGGCGACGGTCACACCGGATAATGGGCGCAACTGCTCCTCTGGATGGCGTTTCTCTGGCGTGAGATTTGGTGGCACCAACTCGGAGACCAATGCCTTCCTCCCTGTTCTACACGCGAGCCAACGGCTGACGCGTACTTAACCGTAGAGCCAGGACAATACAGGGCTGTGCTGGATAACCAACTATAAAATGGCCAAACGTTTATCTTTTAGTTTTACGAACGCGGCTGTTTAGCCTCTTCTGTTAGTTTGTTTCCTGTTTTGTTCGTTGCAGTTACATGGGTTGGGCTGTCGCATCACACGCAACAACAGTGCGTTCTCGGAGTACATTTCGACGACAGCGCCACTGGTACCGAATGAACCAGCCAGGCTTCATTGTTTTGCGGGTGGTTTGCGTAGCTCCCAGTGTAGAGAAGAACCGCATTGGGCACCATCATTGCCGATAGAGTGACGCCGACTCATTTGTTCGCAGGCAAAACTACTGCCCACTGATTCTCGCTGCGCTGCGCAGAATTTATTTGTTTATACGCGCATTGTAGACCTATTTCGTGTTTGCAAACAGTGGTAGATGCCGTCGGCGTGCTGAGGCGTTTGTAGCGACGTCGGGGAGCGTGGACTCCGCCCAGCCCAAAGCTCGTCACCACCCTCTACGTCCATGCGACAAGTGTCACTGCAGCTGCAAAGCTGCCTCCGTGCTCCCCGACGTGCTGAGCTCGGAGGCAGCCTTTCATGAACATACAGGGTGGGGGAGAGCTTTATGCTGGCTGGAGCCGATGCTTTCAGACGTCGCTGCAAACGCCTCAGTACGTTGAAGACGTCTACCGCTGTTTACAAACGCGGAATAGGCCTATAGGAAGATCTTAGTGGGTTTTTTTTTTTTTCTTAATTTGAACAAGCTTTCTAGACAGGCCTTGAGTCTTCCGAACTGAAGTCGCCATTCGTTCCTTTGGAACTCTTTAAACGAGTCGCGGACTACGATATTACCATCGTTCCTTCTGTTCTCTAGCGAAAGCAGGGTTGAACACTATATCCTCCTCGGATGAGATGAAAGCATTTGTCTTCGATGCGCGTCTCTCTTTTGACGACGCGTCCTTCACATCAGTTTCCACACCGAAATGTCTCTTTCCTCAATGTTCCATCGCGTAAGGTTCGTTTCTATCAAGGCATTTTCAACGTTGTGAACACACAGTGCGTACGCAGTCATCATTGGCATAGCCACACTTTCACGCAACACCTTGAGCGTGTTATTTGTTTTCGGTGAGTGGACTTCTTTTATAGCTGCGCTTTCATATATTTTTTTGCGGCGCTCTCGTTGACAAGTTCGTTGGATAAGTTATTCACTCACGCCTTTTACGAATGTTGGACCCTCTAGTCTTTTAAGTCACTTTATATATTTCAGTTGCGGCTTCTACGTGATAGCGAGCCTATAGGACTTACGGGCGAAGTTCTCACGGGATGTCGTAGTATTGATTTTTACCGTTTTTTTTTCTGCATTGCGGCAGAAGTTTGTTTGTAACAGTGCATTATCGAGTGTTTTACTCACTTAGTAATGTACTGTGCCTAATTGCGCATAACGCAATGATTTTTGTATACTCCAGTATTATCCGTTTTTGTCGCTTTTGAAGCTTTCATATGGAGTCAGCGAGCGAGAAAACAAGCATTTTTTGCTGATTAGTCATTTTATTTTACACTTTGTTACCTGTGCAATACTTTCGGACGAACCAAAGCAGCTAATTTATTGTTCAGAGTACATTGTTTTTTTTTTTTTTTGTGAATATTAGGTTACGAAGAACATGCCCAGCGTCTTCGTGAACGCAGCTCCGTAATCTCTCTTATGTGGTGAGCGATAATCTCATTCTTAAAGCTTTCCTGCGGGCGGCACACCTCTGCACTTAACTGACATTCAAGATTATTCTTGCTTTCATGGATTGGCCGTTTCACAATAACGGCGCGCAAGTCACAATTTGCGTTCTTGGGAGTTGCCTGCAGGAACGTTTTCTGTTACTTTATTTTTTCAGAAGCGCTTGTTAGTCCA